CTTAAATCTTTGAAACAGTGACCCAGGAAGTCCCAGGGGTCAGATTCTACAGCCAAGGCTCTGAGAGCCTGTAGTTCCCTCCCAATAGAACAGGAGAGCATTTTTTTTTCCTAGTCCCAGATCAGCACTAATGTCCCAAAGAGCAGACTTGGCAGTGGCTGCACAGAGACCCAGAGTCCTACAGCTGGCTGGCTCTGTTGGGCTCACTGAAAAAGGCCTATGATTGAAATGAGCTCAGATTTTAATGGAGGAAAACCCAGTGATCTACAGGAATGAGCTCCCTCCTCCCACACCCAGACCGCTTTCCTATCAGCCCCTTCCCTTGCCTTCCCTTCTTTCTCTCCATGTCTTTCTTAGCCAGAGACACTTGCCTGGGCCCACAAAGCCTGGTGAATTCACAACTCCCAGGCAGGGCCTTATCTACTGCACAGACCATTTTCTGCACCTATGTTCCTCCTAGCAAGACATGGGCTAATGTCCTTTTTATGACTTAAGACCTCTAGTCTCTTTCCAAACAAAATGCAAAGAATGCAGGTGATTTCTGGTAACTTGTTCCCTGATTTACTAAAAAAGTGGAAATACTGGCCATGTGGCACTCGTCGGGGCTGCTAGGGTGACAGCATGCAATTAGGAAGGGTGGCTCTGTAATGTGCGGGTGGGTAATCCCTGCAGAGGGCCCTTACATACCACACCCCAGGGGAGCACCGAAAAAGTTCCAGAATGTACTGTACTGAAAAACGTTCATAATGTGTGTGTGTGTATGTGTGTATGTATGTGTATGTGCATGTGTGTGCATGTGTGTGTGTGCGTGTGTGTATATGTGTGTTTGTGTGTTTGTGTGTGTATGTGGGTGTGTATGTATGTGTGTATGTATATGTGTGTGTGGGTGTGTGTGTGTATGTGGGTGTGTGTATGTGTGGGTGTGTGTATGTGTATGTGTCTGTATGTGTGTGTATGTGTGTATGTGCGTGTATGTGTACGTGTGTGCATGTATGTGTGTGCATGCACACTTGCACACATACACTTGTGCAAGTGCACACACACACATGCAGTCATAGGTGGACCAACAGCCTGTCCCATCTTGTATCTCTAATCTGAGATCATACCTGGAAATCATACACTACCCTTACTTCTTCTATGTAGCTTTCTGGGCAAATTCTAGACCTGACTGTTGCACCATGAAACTCCTGCCTCCGTGGGAAGTGGGCTGTAGAGGGGAGTCCTGCATGCTGGGTTCAGTCAGTCCACATCTTCGGGACTTAGTGCCTCCACTGTAAATAGAGTGAATCTTGCGCCTCTGGGGACAGGAGATATATTAGGTCAGTGCATAGGAGATGGACCATTAACTCCTTCCTATAGGTGTATGCTGTAATTTTCCACTGCCTCAACACCCCCACAATCAGGCTGTGAGCAGCCTAGTAACTAGTAACCAGGAGGACCAGACAGATAAGACTTGGTTGGCCCCGACCATATTGTCCCTTCCCAACTTCCTTTGGCTCTGACCTTCTAATATTCAAAGGCACCTCTGGTCTCTCTTTGTGTGTCCTACCCCTTCATGTTGTCCTGACAACATGATTGCTTTCTGCCTCCTACCTGCTTGGCTGAGCCTGCTCCCTCGGTGGTCCTCCCAGTGAACCCTCTCTTTGCAGGTCGCTTCACCTGTACCTGCTCCCCAGCTCCTGTCAAGTGCACATCAGAACCTGGAGCAGCTCTGTGGGCGGGCGTGTGAGGTCTGAGTGACAGAGCAGGCACCGGTGCCGGTGCCGGGAGGCTTGCGGATGGGCAGATGGCAGTGCCTTCGCAGGGTTGGTGGAGTGTGAGGAGCAGCCGGCGGCGGTGCTCAGCGAACAGTGGCCATCTGTGTCGTCAGCAAGCTATGCCTCGTCAGCAGAGGCTGCTTCCCAAGGCTGCTGGGGACACCTCACCCCCTAGATGGATGGCTGAGTCAGAAGCAGGGTCCCCGAGGGACAGTGTCTGCATTCCTTCTTAGGCTGTCAAGAGGAAGCCCTGGTCTTCCCAGCAGATGTCTCCTCCTCTGCCTCATGTTCCCTGAGATGCTTTGCAAGGCAGTCCATGGTAGGAGGGAAGGAGGCACAGGACTCAGAAGCCTGCCTTCCTGGGACAGGTCCTAGGGACCAGAGACAACAGCTCATCTAGAACCTCAGGCTTCTCAGAGCTTAGCTGTACACAGACCCAGGAACTGAGCCTCTCATGGAAAGAGGTCTTTCTTTCCATCGACCTGATAGCCCCATCTCCTTGAGACTCACTCCCCACAAGGGCTGGTCACTGAAGCATAGGACCGTTCTCTGCTTGAGTTCTTATGACTCAATGTCTTCCTCCAGCAGAATGGTCAGATCTGGGACATGCCAAAGACTCTCAGGGACCTTGGGTGGCCAACTCTTCACCATATGCTGGAGAAAGACTTGGCCCTCTACACCCAGGAGTCAACCAGCTTTGGGTGCATGTGGAGGAGACAGGATCTGCTATGGTGTGTCTGTACTTAGTGTGTACAGAATGTCACCATTAGTCCTTAATGGTAAGGCACAATTACTTGTGTGGCACTTGCACAATATTTGGTATTATAAGTAGCTAAACATGATTTTTAAAGAGACAGAATATAGACTGTATGTGAATAGTGCACCATTCTCTATGACCGTCTTCTGGCTCTAGGTGTGTGTGTGTGTGTGTGTGTGTGTGTGTGTGTGTGTGTGTGTTTCCAGAGCCAGTTCTCATGGGCTTCAAGGGATGACCACGTTCTTGCCAGACCATGTTGAGAATGACCAGGCAGGCTGTGGCTGCCCCCAACCTGCTCTGGAAGGTGCTTCTGAGTACACCTCCTGAAGGTTGGTCCCTGGAGAAATTTAGCCTATATATCATCATGTACCCTGCCAGCACCCTGGATCCAAGCCTTTCCTCAGAGTCAAATGAAAGGATTCTTCAAAATGGGAGCACCATCCAGCTGGGTCTGCACAGAGCGGCTTTTATATCCAGGACAAAAACTAGGTCGCTGCTTTGAGAGCTGCTGCAGGGGCCAGGCCTCAGGCTCCCTGCTGCAAGCCCCGCTTCCACTCCCTAGGATGAGTGCAAGACAGAATACTGCACAGTCTAGGATGGGTGGTGGGGCTGGGACGCAGAGTGGGTATAGGCAGCTCAAGAGCCCTTTGAGGTTTCTTCTCATTGCCTGCTTTCTTTCAAACTCAGCCTGATTTCTCTTTGAAATTTGGATCTATTCTGCAGCTTAGGCTTCCTCTCAAAGCCCAAGCTTTTTTTCCCCCAGTTTTCTCTGTTTGTTTCTTCTCTTCTGAACATTAGGCTTAGTCTGGGATGGGTACAGAGAGGCCAGAGTCAGTCACCATCAAAGAGTGTCAGAGAGCTGGTTGTGTGGAGCCTGAGGTGTTCTCCACCTCAGGGTCCCTGCTGGCTCTTCCCTGGCCTCTTTCCTGACTCTGGATAGATGCTATGGCCCCCAGGAAGAAGCTGCCATGAAGGCCATAGTACCTACAAATGCCAGCCATGATGTACTCTTTACAAATGATCAAATCAGTTAAGCCTGATCATACCTCTCCATGGAACTGCCCTAAGTACATATTAGACAACATAAGGGGGCATATCCAAAAGAAGAAGAAGAAGAAGAAGAAGAAGAAGAGGAGGAGGAGGAGGAGGAGGAGGAGGAAGAGGAGAAGGAGGAGGGAAGGAAGGGGAGGAGGAAGAGAGAGGAGGAAGGAAGAGAAGGAGAAAGAGGAGGAAGGAAGAGGAGGAAAAAGAAGAGGAGGGGAAGGAGGAGGAGGAGGAGGAGGAGGAGGAGGAGGAGGAGAAGAAGAAGAAGAAGAAGAAGAAGAAGAAGAAGAAGAAGAAGAAGAATCTAGAAATTCATAGAACAAAAGACCCAATCTTTCAGCAAATAGAGTGGGGTGACTATCCTCAGAGATAGAAAGAGACATCAGAGACAAATCAGTCAGTTTTAACACACGGGGCTAATTAAATAAACTTAAAAAGAAACAACACCTCATGGGTCAGCTGGGGGAAATCAGAAGCTACCTCGTTATTTTGTGATATTAAGAACTGAATATTGATTGTTTTTAGCTGTGACGAAGGACCCTTAGGGTCGAGAGATATATGAAAAAGATGACATAGTGTCTGAGGCTGCTCTACAGCAGAGAGCAAGACATGAGGAGGATGTGCACCAGGTGAGGGTGACCATGAAAGGACAATGGTGAACTCTGGGTGAAGGGACATAGAAGGTCATTGGAGCACTGTTTCAGTCTTTGCTGTGTAAACTGCCTGCTAAAGTCTAAAAGGGGAAAGAAGAAGAGATGGGGAGGGGAGGAGGAAGGGAAGAGGGAGGAAAAAGAGGAGAGAGGGCAAGATGAAGGAGAAAGGAGGGAGCACAAGAAGGAGGGGGAAGATTAGGGGAGGAAGAGGAGGAGGAAGAGAGGAAAGAAAAGGAGAGGAAGAAAAAGATAAGGAAGAAGGGGAAGAAGAAGAAGAAGAAGGAGGAGGAGGAAGAGGAGGAAGAGGAAGAGGGGGAGGGGGAGGGGGAGGAGGAGGAGGAGAAGGAGGAGAAGGAGGAGAAGGAGGAGAGGAGGAGAAGGAGGAGAAGGAGGAGAAGGAGGAGAAGGAGGAGAGGAGGAGAAGGAAGAGAAGGAGGAGAAGGAGGAGAAGGAGGAGAAGGAGGAGAGGAGGAGAAGGAGGAGAAGGAGGAGAAGGAGAAGGAGGAGGAAGAAGAGGAGGAGGAGGAGGGGGGAAGAGGAAGGACTCTAGCAGTTGCTATAGTATTTGCTAAGGCTGACCTCCTGGCTCAGGTCAGACATACCTAGACAGTAGAGCCACCACAGACCCTACAGAAGCCACCCTGCTCTGGCTTCTCAGTATCCTCAGTGCCCTATCTGGGGAACATGTGTGATGCTTCTCTGACCCCATGTAGCACAGGCCTATACTCACTTTATAGGGAAAGATACTGTGGAAAGACAGCTTCCACATAGGGACAGGGAGACACTCACTGTGGAGAGACAGCTCTTCTGTTCCCGGATGATGGCCCCAAAGCCCAGGAAACCAGTTGTCATGACAAGACCACCAACGAAAATGAGGATGTAAGCAGAGGCAGCGAACGTGCTGGAGGCCAAGATGCTGAGGTAACCGCTCTTCTCCACCAGTGTCCAGATACCCACGGCCATGACGGCTGTCCCACCTACCTGCAGAGACACAAAGCCAATCAGGTGGCGCATGAGGCTTTGCCAGCTGCCATCTGTCTAGTGGCCACTGGGCAATACATTCTTTTCAGGCCCCTTGTCAATTAGCCTTCAAAGGGGTCTAAAGGGGATGTTTCAGTTTATAAATGAGCAAATGGAGGGTTCAGGTGCTCAGTAGACTTGCCAGCACACCCACCTCACCCTGTGCCTCTGTCCCCTCACAGATGCAGAAGGATTTTGAATCTAAGTCTGAGCCCAAATCTATGCTTCTTACTGACCAGGGATGAACACCCTTTGCCTTCCCCATGCCATTCTGGGCTCTCTCTTCCTCAGCATGTTCATTGGTCTCTCTCAAAATTTCCCAGAGGACCTTTCATGCTGGCCCATGCTCACATGTGTGCATCAGTTGAAGAAACAGGCCCACTGAGGAAAAGTGCCTCGCTGAGGTCTTGCTTCTAGGAGGGACAAATCCAGGAGTGATGCAGAGCTAGGTCATGTCCACAGTGCCTGCTCCTTGGAAAGGCCTCCGTGCTCCCCACACTCCTGCACAGGATGGGCTGTGCTCCCCACACTCCTGCACAGGCTGGGGAGGGAGTTAACCATCTTATTCCAGTTTGGTCTTGAGATGGGTCTGGGATGGGACCCTGCTCACTCTCTGGTCTGAGAGCTGCTGCCAAGGAGGAGTGTCATGGAGCACAGCTAGGAGTCCAGCCTCCAGGGATCATGAGGCCGAAGAACTGCTTTGGTAGGGATAACACTTAGAAGAATGCATTTACACACCATGTGGGTACTACAGGTGCCACACATGGAATAGGAGAGCTATTTGCCCAGGACTCGGGGACTTCTGAGAAGTTCTGCCATCTGATCCTGGGAAGGTCAACTTCTTCTTGCCCCTGGTCTCCAGGTCCCCATTTAAGAATGGGCCCTTTCCTTCAGATGAGTAGTCGAGGCTTCCTTAGAGGTCTTACTATGGTCAAAGCTAGAGGGGCCTGTTCCTTCCCCACTCTGTTTCTGCCCTCACCTGGGATGCTTAACCCTGGAAAAGGTTCCCCACCTGTACCACAGTGACTCCATGGTCGTTTTTTCTGCTCTGCACAGTGACAGTCCTCAGGAGAGCAATGCTTGGGGGGTTCTTAGCAATTATCATACCCAAGGCACTTGCATCATGTGATTGACATGTGATCCGTCGATTTCTTATCTAAGTTATTACAATCATCCTGGGAGGATGGGTCAGGGTATATTATCCTGTGTAGCAGATGAGGAAGGAAATTGAGGCTTATAGAGAATAGCAGAGTGCCCGGGATGACACCATTCATTTCAGAACTGAGATTCAGGGCCAGGTCTTTTGAGGACAGAGGCAGGACTGTGCTTGGATCTGACGAAGTGGGTGTGCCTGATCCTCCGCTTCTGCTGCTCAAACGGATGATTCTTTCCAAGAACCCCTTTATCTCCATTGGTACCTCCAAGAGAAGTCAGCGTAAGGCCACCACCATGCAGGACCATGGCTGTGCTGCTAAATGGAACTGGAGATGCTAACCTTCCCTCCACTGCTTGAGGCACAGTCCCTGCTTTCATTGTAACGTCTCTAAACTTAGGATGCACCTTTGATGAATAGTGCTATCCTTGCCAGTACCTTTTCTTAGTGGTACTAACAACAGCAATGACATAGCCTACCAATCATCCTTCGAGCCAAGAATCCCAGGACACAGGAGACATTCAGAGACCCCATGGGTGAGGGTTATCTATGCCCCACACAATTCCTATGACCGTTCTGAGTCTGGGTAGATGGGGCTGAACAACGCATGTGAATGACTAGTGGCTGCCCCTGTTGGTCAGCTTCCATGACCACTGGGAACTTTGAGTAAAAGTTCACCTCACTATTCCTTTATATAACTGGATTGCCTAGAAGGCTGGAATGAGGGTTTCAACTCTGCACAGTTCAGCTGGGAGAGGGAGACAGTCCTTTCACGTCTTTTCTCTTCAGCCCTGCATCTTTTAAGTTGAGAGAGCCTCACTAGATTGGTAGTTCTAGTCCATACCTCCTAAAGAGCCTTTGAGATACTTTTTTCCAAGGACTTATCTGGATGTGTGCTTTGTCCATGGTGTTGTACCAGCAGACTTCAGCCCAAGATACACGTTGAGGTCTTTGCCAACAAACACAGTGCATTAACTAAGAAATAACCCCCCTTTCTGTCTCTCTCTCTTCTCTGTCTCTCTCTCTCCTTTCTTCTCTGTCTCTCTCTCCTTTCTTCTCTGTCTCTCCTCTCTCTTCTCTCTCTCTGTCTCTCCTCTCTCTCTCTCTCTCTCTCTCTCTCTCTCTCTCTCTCTCTCTCTC